GATAGTAGGTACTTTGGCCTTAGAGTAGTCCCTATTTGGGTACTTTGGGGCCAAAGTATCTACTATTTGGGTACATGGACCCTTCGGGCCTCAAGGTTTCGGGAAGCCTCTTGGGACGTGGAGTTTAGGGAGCTTTTTTGGGGGGTTAGGGTGTAGGGTTGAGGTTCATGAGGTGTCTAGGGCTTTTTGGTGGGGAGCTGTGCTCTAGTTTAGCCTTTTATGGGGTTGAGGGTTTAGGGTTGAGGTTCATGAGGTGTCTAGGGCTTGTTGTTGGGGAGTTGTACTCTAGTTTAGCCTTTATGGGGTTGAGGGTTTAGGGTTGAGGTTCATGAGGTGTCTAGGGCTTTTTGGTGGGGAGCTGTGCTCTATTATAGGGTCTGATGGGGCTCCAGGCCTTGTAGGTTCTTGCGGCTGAGGGCTCTGCGGGCGTCGTATTTCAGGGTGTAAGTCGTTTAGGGTCGATAAAACCCTAAACCCTAAAACCCGTAAACCCTTAGAACCCTAGAGCCCTAAAACCCTAAAGCCCTAAAACCCTAGAGCCCTAAAGCCCTAAAACTCTAAATCCCTAAACCCTAAAACCCTAAAACCCTAAAACCCTAAAACCCTAAAACTCTAAATCCCTAAAATCCTAAAACCCTAAACCCTAAATCCTAAACCCAGTATAGAGCTTTAGGGTTCTCGCGGTTCCCGGGCCCCCAGAGCCGAGGCCGTGAGTGCGGGTGCCCAGTTCATCGTGTCTCCGGGGCTGAACCCAGAGGCCGGAGCCTGATGCGGTTTAGGGTTTTAGGACTTTAGGGTTCTAGGGCTTAGGGTTTACAAGTTTAGGTTTTTAGGACTTTAGGGCTTTAGGGTTTAGGGTTTTAGGGCTTTAGGGCTTTAGGATTTTAGGGTTTTAGGGTTTAGAATTTCAGGGTTTAGGATTTTAGGGTTTTTAGTACTTTAGGGCTTTAGGATTTTCGGGTTTTAGGGCTCTAGGGCTTTAGGGCTTTAGGGTTTAGGGTTTTAGGGTTTTAGGGCTTAGGGTTTTGGGGTGTTTTAGGGATTTAGGGTTTCAGGGTTTAGGATTTTAGGGTTTTTAGGGTTTTAGGGTTTTAGGGTTTAGGGTTTTAGGGTTTTAGGGTTTATAGGGTTTTGGGGTTTTAGGGTTTAGGGTTTTCGGGCTTTAGGGTTTTAGGGCTCTAGGGTTCTAGGGCTTTAGGGCTTTAGGGCTTTAGGATTTTAGTGTTTTAGGGTTTTAGGGTTTAGAATTTCAGGGTTTAGGATTTTAGGGTTTTTAGGGTTTTAGGGTTTTAGGCTTTAGGATTTTCTGGTTTTAGGGCTTTAGGATTTTCGGGTTTTAGGGCTTTAGGGTTTTAGGGCTTTAGGGTTTTAGGGTTCTAGGGTTTTAGGGCTTTAGGATTTTAGGGCTCTGGGATTTTAGGGTTTTTAGGGTTTTAGGGTTCTACGGCTTTAGGGTTTATATGGTTTTGGGGTTTTAGGGTTTAGGGTTTTCGGGCTTTAGGGTTTTAGGGCTCTAGGGTTCTAGGGTTTAGGGTTTAGGGTTGAGGATTTAGACTTTTAGGGTTTTAGGGGTTTTAGGGTTTTAGGGTTTTAGGGCTCTAGGGTTTTAGGGTTTTTAGGGCTGTAGGGTTCTAGGGTTTTAGGGCTTTAGGGTTTTAGGGCTTTAGGGTTTAGGGCTTTAGGGTTTTGGGGCTTTAGGGCTCTAGGGTTTTAGGGTTTTAGAGCTTTAGGGTTTTAGGGTTTTTAGGTTTTAGGGTTTTCGGGTTCTAGGGTTTTAGGGCTTTAGGGCTAGGGTTCTGGGGCTTTAGGGTTTTAGGGCTTTAGGGTTCTAGGGTTTTAGGGTTTACGGCTTTAGGGCTTTAGGGCTTTAGGGTTCTAGGGTTTCAGGGTTTAGGGCTTTAGGGTTTTAGGGTTAAGGGCTTTAGGGTTTAGGGTTTTAGGGCTTTAGGGCTCTAGGGCTCTAGGGTTTTAGGGCTTTAGGGCTTTAGGGTTTTAGGCTTTTAGGGCTTTAGGGCTCTAGGGCTCTAGGGTTTTAGGGTTTTAGGGTGTAGGGTTCAGGGTTGAGGATTTAGACTTTTAGGGCTTTAGGAGTTTAGGGTTTAAGGTCTAGGGTTTTAGGACGTGCTTTGGAGTTCTAGGGTTCTAGGGCTTTAGGGTTTAGGATTTAGGGTTTAGGGTGTAGGGTTTAGGGGTTAGCGATTAAGGGTCAGGATTTAGGGTCTAGGGATGAAGGATTAGAGTTTAGGGTTTAGGTTTTAGAATTTGGGGTTGAGGGTTGAGCTTTGACTTTGATGAAGGTTGAGGATATCGGGTTTAGCTTTGGAAGACCTACCACACACTGTCAAACACCCTAAACCGTAAACCCTAAACCCTAAAGCTCTCCGCCCGAAAGCCCGGTAGTGCAACCTCCTAAACCCTAAACCCTAAACCCTAAACCCTAAACCCTAAACTCTAAACCCTAAACCTTAAACCCTAAACCCTAAACCCTAAACCGGTAGTGCAACCTAGAAGGCCCTCCACGACTCTAGAACCTTTGATCCGACCCCTGAAGGAACCTAAACCGCAAACCCTATAAGCCCTAAACCCTATAAACTTAGATAGCCAATGGGAGAACTTTATAGGTTCCCAAATAGTACCCATGCTGTTGATGATACAAATCCTGCACTTCCTAGAATAAGGAATATACTTTAACTCCCATAGTTTAGGGTCCTTAACTTAGATAGCCTATGGGAGAACTTTATGAGCTTTTTGGCTTTGTATATTAGGTCTATCCTAAAAAATTTGAACTTTTTTGGGCCTGGTTGTTGAAGAAGAGAGTAAACCCTATAAACCCGATAAGCCCTCAACCCGAAAGTCGGCATAATCCGGTATATGCGTTTTAAGGTTTAGGGTTTAGGGTTTAGGGGTTTAGGGTTTAGGGTTTAGGGTTTAGGGGCAGCATGTGCATAGTTTCGCGTTCGACTATGAAGGGAGATTAGTCAAGTCATCGAAACCCACAACGTTTGAGCATCGCTTGGCTGAGTAAAGAACACCCTGAAACCCTAAAATCCGTAAGACCCGGAAGTTCAGAACACTAACCCTAAGGGTCCACATATACTGCTATTATGGAATTAGGTCCCCAAAACCATAATAAGAATGCCATAATGGTAGTATATGTGGACCCTCTGGGTAAAGCATCTTCAACCCAAGACGCAGAAGGTCGTGAACTGGTGCCTCGAGAATGGCGTTGCTGTCATTCCGGGCGTTGCAACTCCCACTGAGGCCACGGCTTAGGGTTTAGGGTTTGGCGGAATTAGGGTTTATGGTTTAGGGTTTGGCGCTTAGGGTTTATGGTATGAGAAAATACTGCAAGATGAATCGCAGTTGGGGTTTAGGGTCTAAGGCCTTTGGGCTTTTACAAGGAATCATTCATTATACTGTGCTCTACTAGTAGCACTTTACCCTAAACCCGACCCAGAACTGCCAGTTCACCAGCTGGCTGTAGCGATGTTTTCGCTTTGATGTTCGACCAGAGCGATTGCACCTGACGGCTGCGTTACTGAAGGGCCTTTCTATTCAGGCCTTACTAGCCAGGTTCTATGTTTAATTTATCCTCGCGACATAAGACGCAGCAGCATTCGGAACATACGTCTTACTTTGCCTCCGCCCTCTCACAGACTACTACCACAACAAGCGCTGCAACGAAGGGCGTTTTTCAACGTCATCTGTTGGGAAGCGTAGCAGAGGATTCAGTTGCTGATCATAGCAATTCTTCCTAAATCAGACCACCCCACACCCGACATCCCAAACCCTCAAAACCTAAATTGACGAAGTTCCCCTAGGGCTCCCGTGGAACCTTTGCCTAATATAGTAGATTCTTCGCCAGATATTATGGAACCTTTGTAGCCCAGTACCTAGGTGGAGCCCAGGGTTCCTTTGGGACAGCGATCGCCCTGAACCGTGGCTTAAGACCTAAACCCTAAACCCACGAGGCCCGGAACCCTAGACCCTATAAGCCCTACAAACCCTAGATACCCTATAAGCCCTATAAGCCCTATAAGCCCGATAAGCCCTATAAGCCCTATATAAGCCCTATAAGCCCTATAAGCCCTACATACCCTACATAAGCCCTATAAGCCTTATAAGCCCTACATAAGCCCTAAGCCCTAAGGAAGCCTAAACCCGATCAGAGAGTTTAAGCCCGGGTACTTGGAGGATCATGGGACTTAGTAGGTAAGGTTATAAGTCCCCTAGTTGTGGTGATAAGTATAGTTACCTTAATTATGACCCTACTTACTCAGCCCCGTGATCCTTTAAGTAGGTTGAGACCGCGCTTCGCCTGGGCCTGTCGGTGCTCAAGTTCTTTCCGGCAGAGGCGGGGGGCTTAGAAGCTGAGCTTTTTTTTTGTTGGGGGGGGGGGGAGGGGGTTTAGGGTTTAGGGTATAGGTTTTGTTTTTTTTTTGTTGGGGTGGGTGAGGATAGGGAGTTTAGGGCTTAGGGTTTAGGGAGGGCCGAGGTACGAAGCCTGAAAGAACCTTTTTGGAAACATCAAAGAGCAACCTGCTGAACCCTATAAGCCGTATGTGGGTAGTTCTCTAAACATGGGTCCCTATTTTGGTCCCCAACATAGTACGGCACCCTTATAAACAGGACCCTAAAAGGGACCCTAATTTGGAGAACTACCCTTTGCGCTACACAAAAGCCCGGCGGCAGGCCAATGGAGGCGTTAACGCCTTGAAGGCCATCTCCGCCCCTTATGGGCAGATCACCTGGATGCCCACAGGCCCATCTTGGGCTTGGGTATAAGGGTTTAGGGCTTTAGAGGTTTCAGGGTTTAGGGTTTTAGTTTTTTTGGATTTTTGGGTTTGGGAGCAACTGTTCGTTTGAATTGTCTTCCGTTCGGAGGTCTGTGCAGCTTAGAGGGATTGTGACTTTGGCTTGTCAGGGTGGCAGCATTTCTCTTCCCGCGGAAGTTTGCTGGACGACACTGCCGCATGCAGCACAGTGTTAAGAACCCGAAGCCCGAAAACCCCGAACCCAAACCGTGAGATCTTATGTGCAAAGCCGTAAAAACCTAGCACCTAAGATAGCAAATCCTAATATGTTTCTCACAGAACTCCGAAACCCTAAACCCTAAACCCTAACTCCGAAACCCTAGACAGCGTCTTTGCTGGCAGGAGGCGTGTCGGAGGAAAATCTCGAGAAACTTGGTTTGGCAATGCCGCAGCACGGTGGTTTGGTGCAGGGGTAATCCTTACCCTCAAAGGACTCATATTTTGAGGCTCTTGGGCCCAAAGACCCTGTTCTATCAGGCTTTTGGGCTATTTGGATGCTAAGGGTAAGGGTTCAGGGGTTCAGGGTTTTCGGGTTTTAGGGCTTGGCAAAAGCTTTTTCAGCTCTTTAATCCTGAGCCCTGCGCCCAAACTCAAAGCAGGCAAGAGCTTCTGAGGAAATATTCCAAGCTCTATAATCCTAAGCCCTAAACCCTAAACCTTAAACCCTAACCTTAAACCCCAAACCCTAAACCCTAAACCCTCAAAGCAGCCAAGAGCTTCCGAGGAAGTATCTGATGGTGCCGCAAGTGGCGTGCTGCGGCGGCTCGTGGATGGTTCCCCAGGACCTGGTCGGGGGCCTGTTTGGACAGGGTCGAACTAGATTTAGGCTTCAAGCTTTAGGACTTGAGGGTTCAAGTCTTATGGCCTATTTGGGGCTGAGAACTGTGAGGAGTTTACGATTAAAGGCTTTGGGTCTAGAGGTTGCGGTTCTTGGGTGCTCTACACCCCTAAACCCCAAAGCCAAACCCTAAACCCTAAACCCTCAAAAAAAAAACCCTAAACCCTAAACCCCAACAGTTTTGGACCCTGTGAGGATGCCGTGGCCCAGGGCAACTGGCGCTACGTGAAGGAGCTGTCCCAGAGAGTCGCGCTGCCGGGTTAAGGGTTTAGGGCAAGACATAGGGTTTAGGGTTTAGGGTTTAGGACAAAGTTCCGGTTTTGGGGTTGAGGGTTTAGGGTTTGCCTGAGATGCTGCGGGGCAATCGGTTAGTTACACCAGTAGTAAGGTTTCAAGGTTTTGGTTGAGCGGCAACTGCAGCACCCGGCCACAATCCCGAAAGCCTAAACCGAAACCCTAAACCCTACCTGGACCCTAAAGAACCTACTTTTCTAGGGCTCCTTTTTATGATTTCTTTATATACGTCCGTAAAAAAGGTTGGTTATTTGGGATTAAGGCAAACGCTAAACCCTTAAATGATTAAAGCTATTACCTATACGATTCTGGGGGTTCCTTATTATAAGTATAGTAGACCATACCCCAAAACCCTATTCTAATTATTAAGGCCCCTAAACCCTAAACCCTAAACCCTAAGCCCTAAACCCTATTCTAGTTGTTAAGGCCCCTATGTTAGATTTAGTGTTCAGGTCCTGGGATCAGGTCCCTGGTGTAGTCGGCATAGGGTCGTACCCTACCCCTTTTTTTTTAAGGTACCTAGTTCTTATGGTTAGGATCTGTTATATTAAAAAGTAGTTGCCCTAAACAGGGTTAGGGTATGACCCTACACATATATATATATATATATGTATGTGTATGTTGCTAGTTGAGAGCTAAGGCGCGCCAGCTCGCACAGTCTATCGCGCTGAAGAAACGTGGCAAGTGAGCGGAGAGCCTAGAGGCTGTTCGGAGGGGCGTGGCCACCGTTTTGGGTATATTTCTGCACACCACTTGAACCTTCATAGTTTGTGTGTTCGCAAAGAGATGCACGAAACGAAGGCAGCAGAGAAGCAGAAAACCTTGCCACTGCTGCCTTCTAGGTGCAGCACATCACGGTTTGAGCCGCCGCCTCCGTTTGTAAAGAGCAAACGCTTGTGCAGCATAGCTTGTGGTCTCGGCTGTAGCCGTACAGTGTATGTGGGCCCCACAGACCGAGGACCTTGTTTCATCAAACCTGCCTCACCCCTAAACCCTATGCAACTTAATCTAACTTTAAGCCTCACAAAGACCTGTAGCCTATAAGCCGTACTGTATACTTTGAACCAAGGAGCGACCACAACGAATGCAGCACGATGCCGTGGCAAGAGCCATCAAGTGTCCGCGTTTCCAAGACAGTACCAAGCACCGAGTCGTCATTGGGCGAGTTTCAAAAACAAGGAGAGGCCACCGCCACAGTACTTGAAGAATCATGCGCAGCTCTACCTTAAGAGCCCAAAACCCACTTTTTTGGTAGGTTCTTATTATAAACCCTAATATGGGATTTATAGGGACCCTAGAAAAAAGTAGGTTTGGGGTTCTTAAGGTAGCTACGGTAAGCAATTACAGGTCAGATCATAACAGTTTCTTGATATCACCTAAACCCTAAACCCTAAACCCTATCACCTAAACCCTAAACCCTAAACCGATCACCACCTTCATGGCTCGAGGCATACAGCCTCATGCATGACTACACCCATGAATCTTCAAGCAGGTGCCATTCCAGCTGCCTAAGCTGCCGTGGCCCCAGCAGGAATACAGGTTTAGGGTTTAGGGTTTAGGGTTTAGGGTTTAGGGTTCTTAAGGGAAGCCTTGCACATAAAATCGGTTTCTGTAGGGTGCTTGATGGACAAATTAGACCCCATCGGCAGTATCTGACGGTTTGCAAACTCTCAACCCTCTGGCCGCCCAACCCTACGGATGTAGACAAAGTCTTGTCCATGCCCGGAAACTCCAAAACCTGTCAGTCGACGAACATACCATGAATCATGGAAGGAATCGAGGGACTTCTAACTATAGTCTCCATTGTAGTTCCTTTTTCGGTTTAATCAATTTTATATTTAGGATCTTAAAAGGTATCAGTTTTATATTTAAAGATCTTAAAAGGTAACCCCAAAAAGGAACTACCATGGAGACTATAGGTAGATTTCTGCGTACATGATTTGGAAGCATTCTGCTTGATTCACGGCCTTTGGTGGAGTCTCTGGAGGAAAGCCACTGACCCAGGGCTATGGGGTTTAGGGTTTAGGGTTTAGGCCGCTTGCGACCTGCTCCCAAAAAAATAAGAGCCCCCTTTTCATGACATGAAACAAATCCTTAAACCCTTAAACCCTTAAACCCTAATTAAACCCTAATTAAACCCTAATTAAACCCTAATTAAACCCTGAAATCCCCAACCTGCGAGAAGCCTCCCAGAACCCCAGTGTGCAGACTGTCCAGAAGCACCCTGTAAAGCAGAAGCAAACTACGCTGATTTGTTTTAATGCCTAAGTGATTAGTTGAGGCTTCAGGGTCTTAGGCCCTACAGGCCCTAAACCCCAAACCCTAAACTTCCTGATAGTGCTTATAGTCTTCTCATGAAGGCCCCCAACATCAACCCTTTAAACCCCAAGCTCCCCCAAAAAACCCTAAACCCTAAACCCTAAACCCTAAACCCCAAGCTCCCCCCCCAAAAAAAAAACGCAGAGGAACCCCGGAGAGCTCTAAAGGCGCCACCGCCTTCCCGTGATTTCCTTAGGGTTTAGGGTTTAGGGCTTTAGGGCTGTAGGGTTTAGGGTTTAGGGCTTAGGGTTTAGGGTTTAGGGCTTTAAGGGTTTAGGGTTTAGGGTTTTCTTAGAGTTTAGGGCTTTAGGGCTTTAGGGCTTTAGGGCTTTAAGGGTTTTAGGGCTTTGGGGCTTTAAGGGTTTAAGGGTTTAGGGTTTAGGGTTTTAGGGCTTTAGGGCTTTAAGGGTTTAGGGTTTTCTTAGAGTTTAGGGCTTTAGGGTTTAGGGTTTAGGGTTAGGGTTAATAAGGATTTAGGGGTTTAGGGTTAGGGTTTATAAGGATTTAGGGTTTAGGGCTTTAGGGTTTAGGGTGTAGGGCTTTAGGGTTTAGGGTTTAGGGGGTTAGGGTTTAGGGCTTTAGGGTTTAGGGTTTACGGTTTAGGGCTTAGGGCTTGGGGCTTTAAGCCCTTTTTGTTCGAGGCCCCGGACCTTCTACTGGGGCAACGAGGATCAGAATGTCGTCCAGGACTTTGGGTTTGGGAGTTTATAAACAGGTACTTCTTTCTGCTGCTTCCACAAGTGATGCAGTGGATGGTATATTCCTTGATCAAGGGATATTGGAGTCTCGGGGAACCCTAAGCCCTAAACCCTGAACCTATAGCCTATGG